GGCTGATGTGATGTTATGGATGAGAAATCTGGTATTAGAAGGGAAAACAGATGCAAAGCACTCATTGTCCTTTTCATATTCGCTTCCAAAGATGATAGAGGTTGTATATATGTTCCTCTTTAGCCTTACAAGGATTTTCAAACTTTAAGTCTGGAATATATTGGTAGAGCTTTGCAAGTTGAACTGCCAACCTCTTTCTATTATTCTTGTTCTCCATGACCCCTTGTAGATTTTTCTCTGCTTGACAATTCTTTCCTTTATTCTGTGTAATTTTGTTTGGTCTCTAAAATATATTAACCTTGATAGAAGAATTGGTGAAAAGAGTGCTTGTTTTTAAAGGATCCTCTTTAACTTTGCTTAAGTCATTTCGAAATCTGTTCATCTCTCTCAAGCTTGTAGCAATCCTCTCCAACTCGGCATTGCATCATATGTAAACTTAATGAGCATTCACTCACTTTCATCAACCAGGTCACTAGGTCATTGATTCTTATTTCCCTTGGTGCTTTTAGAGCAAAGAGACTATTTCAATCCATCTTTTGCAGTCCTCCTATCTATGGACAATGTTTTCCTGTTTCCACTGCACTTTTAGGATAAAAGTATCCTCATATTCAATCTACTATTAAAATGGAAAATTTGTATTTCACTGGGATGTAACTCTTTTTTTTTACAGACTAGCTGTCACTTTTATCTCTCTTCCCATTCTCAAAACACATATCTAATTTTAGGAGTTTAATTTTTTTCTTTTAATACTGGCCTGGAGACTATCCATATTGAACATCACTCAATATTTCTTCAGAAACACTCAGTTCTTAAATTCAAATCCACAAAAACTGGTATCTATTCTGTGGTTCCTAACCTTTATTTCTCTATAATTTTCTCAACCCCTAAATACATTTCTATACAAAAAGTTATTTAAAGTGTAATGAAATTACTATACAGAAATAATAACAAAAAACAGCAGTGGGAATAATTAGAATAATTATTAAGAGAATAATTACAAGAGAGGACATGCCACTTGAGCACTGGCACAGTAAGAGGTTGCTTATTGGTAGAGGTCAACGTTGTCTGCTAACAGGGAGCTTCAGGGAGGAGAGCACAGAAGATCAGTGGCAAGAAGTTTTTATTAAGCTACACACTACATTACAAAAAAATAAGTTCTGTATACTACAACTCTAGTTGCTACAATCTTTTCTGAAATGTCCGTATCTATCATATTATTTCCATCTCTAACACAAGAATATTCTTTCTAGAATGCAATTGTAATTATGTTACTCCTCTGCTTGAAACTCTTCATTGGTTCCTGTTGACCTGCTGGGTGAAGATCACACTTCCCGTATTGCATGAGAGGCCTTCCCAGTTCTTACCGGCTTATGTCCCCAGCCTGTTTACTGCCCCCAACTCTCACTACTCTGTACCCTGTTGAACTTCTTGATGTTCCATTCAATCACCATTGTGCTCCTTTTCTGAGCCTTCTCTACAGAATGGTCCTTGTTAGCCTTTTGGTCGCTCCTCCACCCTTTACTCTCATGATTATATCTTGTACATATTTCTACCATAACTCCTAAGATTCTGAGGATGGCATCCATTACTTTCTTCTAGTCATCAGTTTGTTTTTCTATAAACCCTATTTCACTTGATCCTATTGGGCCAGCCAGTTATGTGGCCTATCTCTTCCACCACCAAGGATGAACTCATGACCCATGCTAACCAGTCAGAATGTCCATAGGGACTGTCCACTGCATGGACATATGGATTTTCCACTGGTGATCTATTACATAATCAGAACAAATCATAGCCCTTTAGAAACTAGTATAAATTCTGTGTGAGAAAAGAAGTTTACTCTTTCTCTGAGCCTGTTAGGATCACCAGGTTGAGGGCTCTATCAGACTAAACTTGTTTGGGGCTATCTATCTAAGCATCATCTAGAAATTAAATCTGATAGAGGCAAAGAGCCAAGAAAGTGACAAAAGGTGGATTTCTGGTGACATTGTTAAAATACCTGAAGTCAACCAGTCTGAAAGCTAATACTAAATCTCAGACTTATCAGTTATTCAGTCAACAAATTCCTTTTTATTGCTTAAGATGGTGTGAATTAGATTTCTACATTTAAAATGAAAATATTGCTGTGAATATTCATATGCTGCTGCACTGACTTATTTGTATGCTGTCTCTCCTTTGTGTCTTATTGACTGTTATATCCCTAGCACTCAGCACACAGTGCTTGGGACATAAGAGGTGCTTGTCAAAGAAATGCTCCAGCCAAGCAAGCTTGTTGGGCAAATATGGTAGAGGTAAAATTGTTTGCTCTGGAACCTGATTTCCTGGGATACATATCCTTGGATTGACCATGAGTCAACGTCCTCATTTTTAAAATAAGGAACATGAAAACAACAATCCAATAAGAGGATTATGAGAATTAAATGGGTCAATAAATGTAAAGAGATTGGCACAGTGCCTAGTACACAGTAAGCATTCAATAAGTGTTAGCCGTTGATGTTATTTAATGGCTGTACAATTACCCATATTACCTGTCATGCATCCCAGAATGATATGGTTTGCCCATTCCACTTACACAGTTAGTTACTGCATCTTACCCACATATCAACAATCAGCTAGGAAGAGCCTGAGAGAAGCCAAATCAGAGAACTAGACTAAGACACTAAATACACCCTAAAGCCTGATACAGAGTTTAGCAACATGAGGTCCCTAAGATTTAGCCAAATTGGTCTGATGTTTATTTTTTTCCACACTCACATTTGAAGATTACTCTTCAGCTATGCCAGCAGGTACCTGGGCCACTACTTTTCACCTAGGGTTGGGGGAAGGAGGAATTGGGGGGATGTAGGTCAAAGGGTACAAATTTTGAGTTAGAAGAAGTTCTGAGGATATAGTGTACAGCACGGTGACTATAGTTAATAATAGGGTATTGTATACTCAGAAGTTGCTGAGAGTAGATCTTAGGCATTCTCACCACAAAAAAAAAAGTTATCTGTGTGAGGTGATGGATGTGTTAATTATCTTGATGACCTTCATAATCATTGCACAATGTATTTGTATATTAAATCATCACATTGTACACTTTAAATATACATAATTATATTTGTCAATTATTCCTCAATAACATTTATTAAAAAAAATAACGTCTAGAGACAAGTAAACCAGTACCCTTTATGATGGTGGTCCTGAGCTTCGTGGCACAGTTTGCTCATTAATCACAATTGACAAGACTTTGCACAAAAACGTGGAGAGGGTAAAATAATAATGATTGTATCTTCATTCTTTCTTACTGTTTCAATTCTTAATCTTCTTGAATAAATTAGAAATTGCTCTGGGATAGAGGTTATTTATGTGTAAAAGCACATCTATAATATATTTCATCAAAATAACATTTTCCTGATATTATTCATGCTGAAGTAAAATTAGTATTTACAAATAGTCTTTTAGAATTGGTGGTAGGAGGGAAATAATTACAGACATGTCTCCAAGCTCATCTCAAGCTGAACCAACGATTGTTGGCATTACACTTTAAGAATCAATACAGTTGAATGAAGTGAATTGCACCCAATAAAATCTCCCCAAAAAGCCTCATATATAAAAAATCAATATATACTTTAAATACTTATTTAATGCTTTAAATAAATGTTAATATATATTTTAAATATGGTTCTACACTTGTACTTATTTTTTTAGTTTTCTTTTCTTTTTTTTTGAGGAAGATTAGCCCAGATCTAACACCTACCTCCAATCTTTCTATTTTTGCTAAGGGAGATTGGCCCTGAGCTAACATCTACTGCCAATATTCCTCTTTTTCCTGAGGAAGACTGGCCCTGAGCTAGTATCCATGCCCATCTTCCTCTACTTTATATGTGGGACACCTGCCACAGCACGGCTTGATAAGCTGTGCGTAGGTCAGCACCCGGGATCCAAACCAGAGAACCCTGGGCCACCAAAGCAGAACGTGCAAACTTAACCACCATGCCACCTGGCCGGCCCCCACTTATTTTTGTAAAACATAGAAAACACCATCTTGAGCCCATGCAATGATCAGTGACTCAAAAAAGAGATTTTCTAACATAATTTGCATCTTTATATATTATAGCATACAATGTTAATAATCATTGAGACAGTCATTTCATGAATGAAAAATAAAATATCCAAATCACTGCACCAAGGAATTCTGATGAATCATTATTTGACCTCTAGTTATAACAGAAATATCTTTCTTTTGAGAAAAAATTTAAAAATATAAAAAATTGGTTTAATTTAAAACATTATAAATCAATAAAGTATGTAAAAATCCCAATAAATGTGATTCAATCTACACCGAAGATGGCTACTAAGTGTTAAACACTGAGATGTACATGCGCATGTTAAAATTAGAAGAACTAATGGATAAAGAGATTAGAAAAAATCCTACTCCAAGTAACAATAGTAAAAAGTTCACAGTGTTCATTATTTCTTTGTCTAGTCATTGGTCCAAAATCTTTGCCACTCAAAGTCTAGTCTTTAGAATTTCCTTTATAATGCATATTATCCAGGAAACATCCTTAATTCCCCTCATCTCCCTTAAATATCTCCCTATAATACATATCATGTCACTGCCCTGACTCAGTTGCATCAGCCAATCAAAATAAGTAAGTATTTAAGGGGCACTGGTGAAAAATAATTTGTCACTATACAGGTCAGCTCTCATTAATAATAATAAAAGTTGACATTTACATAACACCATTTGTACAGCAATTTCATATTAAGTCTCCAAAGATTTATTAATACTTCCAATATTTCTATGCATTTGGTAAACATTCATCTCCATTGTACTGATTTGTAAAGAAAAGCCCTAACTCGTAAAGTTATATGAACCTAGTGACTGTTTTTAAACTGAAAGTTCATTTCTATCTGCTAGGAAGAAGAGAAGAATATAAAACATCTAGCATGAAATAGTTTGGCTACTCCAGGATAGTGAAATATCCATTTGGCACTTGGGTCTTATCTATTCCCACCTTTTTATATGCGATCCAGTCAAACACCCTGTCAATATCTGCTGCCTGTCGCACTTCCTGTGATACTGGATGGGAACTGGCCAAGCCGTCAAGCAGCATCACTTCATGCAGAACATCCGTCAGAAACCTCTGTTTTTCCTGCAATACAGTAGATGGGGCAATAGCATAGGTGATTCATGGTTATAACAGAACGCCTGTGACAGCTTGAACAGAACGTGTGTTCCTTAATCGATGATGCTCATCAGCCTACATGGTGAGACTTAACTCTAAAGAGAATCCAGTAAATAAAATGCCCCTTAAGTTACTCTGAAATGAAGGTGGTTGATCTGAGCACAACATGAAACAAAATCAATGGGCTACAATGGGCCCTAAATAGACAAAAACAATGGACTCTGTGCTTTAATAGCGGTTAAAGCAAATTTGGAGAGTGGGCACATAAATGAAACTGAGTAAGCTTGTTTGTGCATTCTACAAGGTCAAGACTACAATTTCAGTCCCAAATAACCTTTTTAGTTAAATTCAATGTAAGAATACTAAGTAAATTTCAGGGTTCCTGTGCAGTTTTGCTATTTATCCCATTTATTTCTAGTACCATTTGAACAGCTCAGTCTCTTTCTCCCTGACCCTACCTCCTTCTCTCTCTCTCCCTCTCTCTCTCACTTATTCTCTCTCTAATACACACACGCACACGCACACACACACACATTTATTTCCTGAAAGAATTTCAGGGGACCACAACAGATAATAAAAGGCATTATTGACATCAAACTATAATATCTGTGGATGCATGTGTGAATTCAGAATAATGGACATAAATTGGAGATCAATAGGTTTTAATAATCCGTTACCATAAAGTTGTGAAAACAGACAAAATCATGAGACTTCTATTCAGCACACTGTTGAGACATCAGTATTTGCTCTAATAAAAGCGGATTTGTTGTGTTAGAAATAAACTGTAAAGAAAAAGTACTTCTCTGTTGTTTTTGGAGAAGGCTGCTGTAAAGACACAGCTTGGGTTTGTTAACAAAAATGCTGGCAGCTATTAGTTCTCCTGGCCTGCTGCCTTCATTGAGGGAGGAGGGAGAGAAAAAGGAAGTTGCAAGAGATAACAAGGGCTAAAACGCCCCTGGACAGTTGCGACCTGAAGAGTATCGCTACAGAGATTAAAGAGGGGCAATGCTTAAATCGCTCCAGCTAATTTTGAACTCATTCTTGGAGCCTCCTAGTTTTGAGCCAGCAGACAAACAGCAGGTTATTTCTGAGTGAGTCATAATTTCAAGCTGAGAGAACACCAATCCTGGATTTTAAAAAATGGAAATGGAGAATAAATATGCTAAGAAAAGAATAGTTAACTGGGCATATATGTGTGTATTACTTTAAATCTGCCTTTAAAGAAACATCACCATCTGCTCAATGATTTGATATGTTTAACTGATAATATTAATTAGCCACCCAAATATATACTGTAAGGTTTATTTCCTAATAGCTTATTTTTATAGTCTATGGACTATAAATCTAGTTTTTTCAGTCCTTTTTTTGGTCTAAGAGTTTCACATCAATGGTCTATGTTCCATCAAAAACACCGAGGTAGCAAGGACTGCACGAGAGGTCACTGAGTCTCAGAAGGCTGCTCCAGACCCTAAGAGGCCACAGTGAGAAAGTCAAACTTGAATTAAATGATAAGTATGACATAAACTAGTACTGTATTTCTTCTCAAATTAAGTTCCTAATTCAAGACAAATTAAGGAGAGTGAACCCTGTGATTCAAGATCTTAAGAATAAAAAGATTGGCATTTATGGGGGCCAGCCCGGTGGCATAGTGGTTAAGTTCACACCCTCAGCTTCAGCGGCTTGGGGTTTGTGGGTTTGGATCCTGGATGTGAACCTATGCACTGCTCATCAGGCCATGCTGCAGTGGTGACCCACATACAAAATAGAGGAAGATTGGCAAAGATGTTAGCTCAGGGACAATCTTCCTGAAGCAAAAAGATGAAGATTGGCAACAGATGTTAGCTCAGAGCCAAACTTCCCCAGCAAAAAGAAAAAAAGATTGGCAATTACATTTCTCATCTTAAGTCCACTAAAAAGCAAAGATAAAGATAAGATCTCAGAGGAACGGCCTAGATTTAGACAATAAGAAAAAAATCACATATTTCCAAAATAAATATTTATGTTACTTTTAAGCAGATATGTATCGTGTTACTCATTCAATTTTAAAATGCACAGTAAAACTATTTGATATTGAAATTAATGGGAGGAATCATGAAATATATAATTATACTTCAACTTGACCAATCAATACTTTTATTTATAAGGAATACCAGTTGAAGATATGATTTCCATTCTGAAGATAAAACATATTCAACTCTTCAAATAATGAATGCCTGCTCCATTGTGTCACTGAAACAACTGATGAAAAGGCACAGTGTAAAACGAACTTAAAGTGATGCTCTATTTGAATCCTAATTATTAGTATTTAGCAACATTAAATATATATTGAGCAATTTAAAATTTAGAAAACATATCTTGGTTTGCTAGAGATATGATTTTTTAATGGTATATGGAAATGGCTACATAATTATAAAATTGAAATCTAAGGTAAATTTCAAAAATGAAACTTTCTTGCTTAAGGAAATACAAGTTCTACAGGATCTGTTGCTTCCTGTTTCTGGAGAAAAACAAGAACACCCTTTGCCTAGTCAGTCGACTCTCATGAAGCAGTGCTTAAATTTAGCAGTGTTAAGTCTTTAGCAAAAGATTCATTTTCTACATTGTTGGAAAGAATGACTGTGTAATTGAGAAAAAAGGCATTAAAATAGGTTAAGAGAGAGGGGGGGAAAAAAAGCCTGATAGAAGAACACTCACAAAGCTCAGAAGAGAGAATATCTTAAACTGAGGAGAAAAAAAAGAAAATTCTAGCCAGAGGCAAACCAATTTAACAAAACTACAAAGAGCTTCCAGTAGAGAAGGTGCTAATTTTTATAAAGACCCATATCTCTATAAAATAAGAAATGATTTTATCTTGTCAGTGCCTGGCTGGGGCCCACCACCTCTTCCTCCTCCTCCTCAACAACAACAATAATAATAACCGCAAAAATTACTGTCTTGACTAATCGCCTACTGCTCACCTGAGACTATGAAAGTTTAAAAACAAAGTTAAAGAAATCCTGGCTTTGATGTGAGATAAAAGATAAAACAAAATAGCTGTCCACAATGAAAAAATAATAGTTTTCTCTTACAGACTAGAAATGCCAAAGAAATTTTGAGAAAAAAGTACTATAAAATAGAATTATTCACAGAAAATTTAATGGAAGAGATAGAAGTTGACCTATCCTTAAAGGAACTTTAAAGTTGTGTGTGCATTTGTGTACGTGCATGCAGGGAATAATATATTTACGGTGCATAGTCAACAGTTAGTTTTCATTCTAGTTCCTATTTTAAGGACATGGTGATAAGCCATTCTACCACTTTCAAAAAACAGCATAACAAGGTAAAATGGAGAACTTTGAAATCTGTTTAAGTAAGTTTACTGTTAACAGTAACAGTGAATCCTCCCACTTGAGTATAGAGACTTCTTGGAATTGCTGCACGTGTGCCTACATAGAAACAGTTCCAGTTATATTGAATATATCATTTTCTATTGAGCTATCTTCTTTCCTTCTTTCTTTTCTTTTTTTTTTTTTTTTTTTTGCTGACAAAGATTTGCCCTGAGCTAACATCTATGCCAATCTTCCTCTATTTTGTATGTGGGTTGCCACAGCATGGCCCCCAAGTGGTATAGGTCCACACACGGGAACGAAACCCAACAGGTGAAGTTGAGTACGCTGAACTTAACCACTAGGTCACAGAGCCAGCCCCCTTATTGAACTATTTTCAGAAAAAATATATTACATTTGAACTTTTGAAGAATAGTGCAGAGGTTTTTCATAAAAGAAAAGAAAGTGTGAGTAAAATGCACAGAGCTGAGAATAACATACAGAAAAGAAGAAAACCACCATTATGTTACTCTATCATTCATCTAACCAATATGTATTAAATTCCTACTCTATGCTAAATATTGTGCTGTGTTTGGTAAAGAAATATATGACCACAGTCTGGTTCCTATCCTTAAAGAACTCAAAAGTGGAAGGGGAAATATAGGGGAAAGACAGAAAAACAGCTAGCTGGATTATAACATGGTGGATGTTATAAAACACAAAGGATGAAATGACTAGTTCACAAAAGGCTTTACAGAGCATGTGACATTCAAGTGGGCTGTTGAAGGATGAGGGTTTACTCAGATGAATGGGGAAGCAGCTAAAAAGGGCAAATCCAGGCAGAGGAAATATGAAAAAAGTTCTTCTGTTTGAAACCTCACTTATCAGGTTGAAGAGTTTGGTCTCAATAAATAGGCAGCAGCAGGCATAATGACATAATAACAGCGGTGTCACAGGAAAATTAACTTATCTGTGGTATGCAGTGGGCTGCTGTAGGTAGGGACGGGAGACAGGAAGCGGCTGTGGTGTGACCAGCCGGTGAGGTGATAATGTTTTAGAACAAGGTGTTGCTGAAGGAGTGCTGAATCAGAGTGATACATTTGAATGAAAAATCAACCGACATCAAAGCCTTGATGCCTTGGTTCCCTTAGTGGATGATGGAGAGGAAAGACTAAACGATAACTACATGGCTTTTGGACTTGACGGAATTTTTCTAAAATGGCAAGGCAAGGGGAAGCTATGGACAGAAATGGAGAAGTGTAAAATGTTCGGTTTGGAGGGCAAGCTAAAAAAACCAGTTTTAGACATGTTGCAACATGTTAGGTCTGAAGGGTTAACATTGAATATGCCTGGTCTAGCCATAGTCATTGGTGATGAGCTGGAGAACAGGAAGTACCATGGAAAGGTAGGGCTGTCGGCAAGTTCCCATAGGAAAGCTGACTAATTTTATTGAAGAGCAATACCAGGCAGACACTTTGATTCTGTCATCAAAAAAGAAAGAAAAAGAATCAGAAAATAATCTGAATCAAGATCAAAGAAAGTCAGATGCATCAAACCAGACGAAGAAGATGAGAGCCAAGCCTGAGCCAATTCAAGTAGTGGAGTGGAGCTCATAGGCATGAAAAGAGTAGAAAAAAACTGCTCAGGGCAGACATGGGTCAC